GCCAATAATGCCCAACCCTACTTCAAAACAAGACAAAAATGCTGTATTGGCAGTGATTACCAATGATTTGTTCCTTATTAGGCAAGTTTTTGGTTTCTGATACAAATAATAGATGTATCTTTAGATTAGTAGAAAAAATAGACAATGAGTTGAAGTCTTTTAAAGCATCATTAGTAATGTGACAATGAAACAAGAGTAAACAAAGGTTAAGCTTCCAGCAAACATCCACTTTTAACTTATAAAAACAGGGTATGGTGCAGTGTGTGGGAAAGTATGTCCACATCTTGGCAGCCTTGACTAAGAACTGTGGAAAATCATGACAGGCCACGAGAATGATGACCTTTTCTCATGCAATGCCACATTCCTGCCATAACTTCGTTTAAACAGGCTGCAACTATAGAATGCAACAAGGAGACACAACTTAGAGGAATTTATGAGAAACTGCCAACTAATATTTTCCAAACTTTCTAACACAAGAGTGCTGGTGCATTGAAAAAGCTTGAAAGTTGATCTAATTTAAACAGAATCAAAAAGCTAATTTTAAAAAAAGGTCAGAAATACAGTTAGCATATCATTGTTTGGCAACAGGTTAATGTTGTAATTTCTGTTCTATATCATTTTCAATTATGGCAAATAGTTGTAGATAAAGAAACTACAGTCAGTTCTTGTAATGATTAAAAATGTGAAGCTAATGCACTGCACAGCTGAGGGTATCTATTTCAGAGAGGTCAGCCCAGCCCTCAGAGGGTCCCTCTGAACATTACTAGGAGAAATGGAGCAGAGAGCTGACCCATACATCATTTCATATTGATGTCTGAGACGTCTGTGACTTAAATCCATTCCTGCTCTCTGATGTGCTCTGATGGGAACTCTAACAGCTGCTCACTAACACACTCCACTTAGTAGAAACACCAGGGGCTGGGCGAGAGGCAGCCCAGGCCTGATGAGAAAACATGTTGCAGACGCTCTGCTGACTGTCTGCACTGACACCATGAGCTTCAAGGACAGGACTGCTTTTTCACCACTTTCACACAACCTTTCTCCTTTCAATGCCATTACTGACCTAAATCTTATCAACTGGACAGGAAAACCACACATTATTTACTGCTGAGGCTGGATTGCAAGGGCACTTCCACTAACTCTACTGAAGTTGTAACTTCAGAGGTAAACAAGCCCAGGATGATCAAATTCATTTATCACAGACAATTAAACTGGAGAAATGCAACAATCAATACACAGAGAAACTTTAAGAGCTTCCATGAGTCAACAATATGTCATAAACTGCCAATCAATACACATCACAATACACTGCCAATCAATACACATCACAATACACTACCAATCAATACACATCACAATAAACTGCCAATCAATAAACATCACAATAAACTGCCAATCAATACACATCACAATACACTGCCAATCAATACACATCACAATACACTACCAATCAATACACATCACAA